TAATGACAAATAGTTTTTCATATGTATATTCCTTTGAACTTGATTTTGTTGGTTCAAGTATTATCTAAACACCAATTATTATTTCAAACATTTTACACATCTACACTCCAATTAAGCAAGGAACAAAAACAAAAATCAAACCTTGAAATTTTCATAAGTTTTTCAAACAAGCTTTATGTTTTGATCATCCTAATTTGACTTAATGCTTGCTTTAGATGGAGGTATCAGTTGGTATAAGTATAAGTGGAAAAAAAATTAAGGTNTTCAACGGATGTCAACATCCTTCAACGGATGTCAACATCCTTCAACGGATGTCAACATCCTTCAACGGATGTCAACATCCTTCAACGGATGTCAACGTTGAAGATGTCACTTCCGCTTAAAGTTATGTTTTTTTTATTTTAGAGTTTGTTTTATTAGGGGACATCCGTTGAAGGATGTCACCTCCGTTGATGTATACTTTCTCATGCTGGTTGATTCTCTGGACGCTCCTCAATGTTCCTCCACACCACGATGGCGACTCTCCTTCACACCATGGCGGGAATGGAAGTTTTCAAACCAAAAAAAACTGGGAAGAAAAAGGAATGAAAGTGCGGGAGGTGGAGAGGTGGAGAGGTGAAACGAAAATGGGAAAAGGGAAAGAGAGTTCCGTGGGTGGGTGCTGGGAAAGTAAAATTAGGATTTCAAATTATTTAAAATAGGATAAAAATAAAAATCTTTTTAACTTAAAGATATAATTGTATTTAAAATAATGTGAGGAGGTAGAAAAAGTATAGGGTGATGGTGAAGGGAGCAACACCCTTAATTACAAACTAAAATAAAGACCACCCCGTCAAGTTTGACTCGTTTCATATTGGGCTGCGTAGTAAGACACGTGTCAGTAGGCTGTAAGAGAAATATGAACACGCATTTTTTGAAAACTTCAACGTCGAAGTTCCTTATATGTTACGTTGTTATTCTCTTAAAGACTTTCTATCAGAGAATTCCTTTCACATGCAAAACCCTAAAATATCATTTCCTTACTATTTGAATACCCACCATTTAGATTCCACTCTTTCAAGTTCCCATCTAAGACTCAAAAACTTTAATGTTAATTAAATCGATTATCAAGTCAATATAAGAAATTTTGTTTTGATAAATTGTGGGATATTGTAGTCCTCAATAAATATACGAAATTAAAGATAAAGAAGGTGATAATGAAATTCGATTCTTTGAAAATTTAATATGAAACTTGTTTGAATAATGGAAGGCTAACTTTTATCTCTATAGAAAGCAACAAGTTTATAAATGTTAGTTAGACAAATGTATGGAGAAAGATCCATATTTTAATTATAAAAATATTAAAGAGAAATTATTATTTGATGATTAAGAAGAGTCGCATTTTTTAAATAAAGAGATACGTATTTTAAGAACTTAATTTTAAATATAAGAATATAAATTAATAAATAATCTGATACGGATGACACAATTATATACAGTGAAAATAACGAATTTATTTCTGATTAAATTATGCATAATATTACAATCGNGACTTCGAACTAGGAGTTGCTCTCTTCCCCTTCGGTTTGATAGTTTAACATTTTTCTTACAAGTATTTAATTCTTTCATGTAACTATTAGACAAATAAGGTTATTTTGATGATTAAAAATAAAAGTATTTGTAAAACAAATATAACTTTTTTAACTGCCATTGTAAATTATCAATAAATTATATAGTTTTCTATTTATAGGTGATTTTTCAATAATAAAAAAATGTTTAGCAAATATCATTTCTATCTTAAAATAGTTTGATAATAAATTTATTTATTGGACTTAAAAAGATATTAAAAAAAGAGTGGGGATATTTTCTTTTCTAATAAATATACAAGGTGAATCATCTTTATTTCAACATACTTTATTTAGTATTTATTTAAAATAATTAAATTCTAAATCACTTTATTAAGAAATACAAATGGTCACTTTTTATCTCAGTTAATGTTGAGTATAAAATTTGTGACGACCTAACTATTTTGTTATTCTTATACTCTTAATTAGTCCTTTCACTATATTTAATAAGGGTCTTAAAATGCTTTAGTTCTGCTAAATAACTAATCAAAACAAATGATATTTTTAAATAAATTGAACAAGTAAACAAATTTTATCTTAAATATCAATAAAATTAATTTTGATTAATTTTTGTGTATTTTACAATTTTATATATTTTATTTATTTCTTATTATAAAAAACAAATTTCATTAAATTAAGAAAGTATTAGTGTAAGTGAATAATTATAAATGAAATTTCAAATCTCCATAAAATAGTAGTCACGAATAGAAAAAATTAAAACCTTACAAAAAAAAGACTCCGTAATATAAATTCAATACTAAGAATTATTAAAAACCTCAAATTAATTTACGAAGATAAAAATCCCGCTTAAAAAAAACTCTACTAAATAACAATTAACAATTTTATAGTTTTATTCTCTTTGACTGAAAGTAAATTCAATTTTTATGCAAACTTTTAGAATCAACTTATGCACATATGAAATGGAGAATTATTTACACCTCTATTTTTACTTATAAATTTGAGATAGGTAAATAACAATAAATTCAAAATATTGTTGAGAAAAAGACACTTTGCAAAAGATGAATAGTCAAATTTGTTTTGTCCAAACTTACTAATTTAGCATCCATTTCTTTTTATTTTTCTGGAACATGTTTTTTTTTTCTTCTAAAATGTAGTTTCAGAAGGTTAATTATTTTAATGCCCAAGTCTATTGTAACTACAACATTAATGGCACGAACTATTCAAAAGAGTGGAAAGGTTATATGCCTTTAAATGTCATTGTCACCCTTATTTTGAGGTTGAAATTTTAACTTGTCCCATAATATTAAAAGTTTAATACTTCAAAAATATTATTTCAAAAATAATACTTTTAGAGGAAAAATTGTAGTCTTCAAAATTTGAAATTGGGTGGTTATGTTTTCCACTTTTAGTTTACTTTTTAAAAGAAAATTTTAGTCTATAAAATTTGAAAGTGGGTAATTATGTTTTTTACTTTTGTTTTGCTTTTTAAAAGAAAAACAGTTTTAAACTCATGTTTGCGAAAGAGCTAATGTTTGTTTGTGTGATTTTTTTATGTTAACAAAATATATTATATTAAAAGATATTTAGAGGTTGAAAAGATAAATAATAATATTTTTGAGTTTATAATTAAGTTTTGAATAGAATTAATGTAAAAAATTATTTTTTAAATTTAGAAAGTATTATGTATGTACAAATATAAAGAGTAGATTTTATAAAGATGTACATTAGTGCATAATTTAATGCATACTCTTATACTTGTCTAATTAATGTATGAAATGACTTGTCTAATATCTTATGTTATACTTGTCTAATAAATGTATGAACAAATTCGTCTAATGTGTATTACTAGATTCGTCTAATTGATATATGAACAAACTCGTCTAATGTGTATTGCAAGATTCATCTAATTAATGAATGAACAAACTCTTCTAATGTGTATTAATAGACTTGTCTAGTTTGTGTATAAAAAATTTTGTGTAATATATATTATTAGACTTGTCTAATCAATATATGAATGTCTTGTCTAATTTGTATTGTTAGACTTGTCTAATAATTGCATAGAAAACTCATGTAATAAAAATATTCCTAAACTCATCTAATCATATATGAAATGACTCATCTAATATATTTTTTGTTATACTCACCTAATAAGTGTATGGAAAAACTTGTCTGATGTGTATTCCTAAACTTGTCTAATCAATGCATTGATAGACTCTTCTAAGACATGTCTAATAAGTATATGAAAACACTTGTATAATGTGTATTGTTAGACACATCTAATTAATGCATATTCAGACTCATCTAATGTGTATTATAAGACCCATGTAACCAGTAAGTGGACAAACTCATCTAATGTATATTAATAGACTTATCTAATTAGTATATGGACAAACTCATCTAAGAGTATTTATAGACTCATATAATCAATGTATGGAAGGTCTCCTCTAATGTTTTTTGCTGTATTCATCTACTGCTTTTTACTATCACCGTATAATGATTATATTGACAAACATTTAATAGGTATTGTTAGGCTTGTTTAATCAATACATCGATAGACCAATTTAATATTTTTTGTTATACTCAATTTTAATGCATATAATAGATTAAAGTGTACATATATTTTACATTTTTTACTTTAAAGAAAGTGACACAAAATATTGTATTTTTTATAATGATCAACTATATTGATTAACAAAATAATTTTAACTTTAGATACGAGTAAAGTAAATAATGTAGGATATTAGAGTGTTAAATAAAAATAAGGTATTAATCAAAGCAAGTAGCTAAATTGTGTTAATTATATGAGTAAATTACTATTTTATATATGAAAATTTGTAATATTAAAAAAATTTGAATTTTCGTAATATGATATATTTAAGTACTAATATCTATGTTAAAATTTAATATAAAAAAGATGGATAAAATTTTGTATCGATAACTTTTAGGTTTTGAAGTTGAAAGTAGTAAAAAAATGGTTTAACTTATTCTATAAAAAAATATAATTATCTAAAACTTTATATAAATTTCCTTGCACATATGATTAATGTTAATTTTTTATTAGATAGTATCAATTTAATTTTTACATATGAAAATGGTAAAAAATGAAATAATTTAGGTGAGAGTAAAGCATGATTAATTTGGGTTTGCCTCCATTGTTAGATGTGAATTCTCAAAGGATGCTTGTTGCACAACACCCATCGTCATTGCAACTATTAATTTATGACCGAATTTGGATTTTTCTCTATTATTAATCGTTAATAAAATGACTTAAGCGATTTCATGCTTTTAACGATCGAATAAATAAATTCACTTTGAAGAAAAAAAAAACAGGAGTGATCCATTAATCAATTTCATAATAAACTAAATATATGAAAAAAAAATGATAATTAATATATTTAAAATTATGTAACATATTTTATTATTTGTAATAAATAAGAAATGGAATGAAATAGAGACGTTGGAGCGCGAGTGAGGAAGAAAAGATGTTACAGTTTCCGGCTTACATGACTCAGTACCCACTCTCGACCAGGACTATTCCGACGTCATTTCTTCTACCCTCTCAGTGGCCCCATCCCCAAAACGAAGAACTCCTCCTCGCCATGGAAGAGTCCGATTTCGAAGAAAAGGTCATTTTCTTTTGGCTCTACCCTCCACCCTTTCTCTTCTGTTACCTCTCTTCATAACATTCTGTTTCTAACGCCATATAAATTCCTTCAAAACGGTATCTTTTCGGTTGTACTCTGTCACTTTTGTACACATCTTTGCACACATTTTTTTTTCTAGGTTTCTAATGTATCTAATCAAATGATTCGGAAATTGGGATTACAGAGGCCTGTAGGGATTTGATCGTATGGTACATATCAATTATGATATGATTAAATGTTTAGATTCTTCCTTCCTTGAATTTCTGTCGCACAATTTGAACATGATTAGCTATTGTTGAAGCAGCATATATGTAAAATGAAACATTAGAGTGTGAATGAGTGGTCATAACTGGGAATTCACAAATGGGAATTATTACACATGATTTTCTGCAAATATGTTAATCTAAACACACATGTCTGAAATTTATGACAAATTTCTCCTCTCTCCTTCCAGAGAGGTATAATAGGTGGAATATTTTGTTTCTTAGTTTTGTTCACATGTTTAGGTTGTTAGCATGTTTCTCTTAAAATTTCATATCTTAGGGAAAGACAAAGTCTGGTCATCCTATAATATAAGGATAAAATCTGCCAACCAAGTTTGGCCCAAAAAGATGGTTGGATGCCTTACACTTGTTGATCTGACCATTGTTTGATTCTTGGTTGTGTAAAGCTTTTTGGAGATAGGCAAAGTCTAGTTTAATGATCACTATCTCTTGTTAAAGGAATTAATCTCGCACTTCAACTTAGGAGATTTCCTTTGATTATAGTAAGTACATGTTGGGCGTTTATAGTTTCATGGCCCAGAAGTATGATCACAAAGTAAAACATGAAAAACATATTGTTTGATTTTCAATTGAACCTGATTTAAACTCAATTTAAAGAACATCTGTTCTATTACAATTTTGTCCTAACTTAAGTAACTCAATTTAATATAGAAGAAAAGGTAGAGATGTTTTTGTAAACTTAGTTTACAAAGTGAATTTTGTCCTAACTTAAGTTTACAAACTTTAATCCAAACATAGCTTAAGGGTATGTTTCGAATGAAGTTTGCAACATGGGTAGTTGTTTTCTCACTACATCTATATGAAACAATAAAAAGTAGCTTCTGCATAATTGAGGCCTGTGGGTTTGACTTTTGCAAAGGATGTGGCGTGAAAACAAATAAATTCTCCTCAAATATTTGGCCACATTAGCATCTAGCTGTTTTCTTGAACTTAGCTGCATGGCTCTCATGATTTTGCAAGTAGGTATACTTGTAAAGAAATCTTCCACATATACATCATGGCATTTAAAAAAGGCCTGCATTATCCATTATAATAAGGTAGTGTTCACTTAAGAAGATAGTAGGTTACAAGGTGCAATTCAGTGTTACATATTGTTCATTGCCTCGTACTCATGCCTGTCGTTGTCGCCATGAATCATTGCAGTGCAATGAGATTAGGAAGATGAACAGCAACCTCATTGTGATAGGGAAAACCACAAATGAAAATGATAAAGAAGATTTTGACAATGAGGCAGATGACGATGATGCTGACAATGTAGAGGAATCTGAGGGTGAAGAATTTGAGCAAGAAACTGGTTGAGAAAGTTCCACATCAGTGGCCAGTTATATTCTGTTTGTATTATTTGGGAGTGCTAGTCCAAATCTTTGTATCGAGTTTTTCTTCTATTCGGTTTTTCGACCTAGTATTAACCATTGGCTTTTCATTCATATAGAACTTTGTATTATATATTAATCTTCAAGTAGCCTAGCCAATGATTAACGATATCTAAATTAAGATATGAGTCAAATGTTAGTTGGGCCCTTCCCCTTTGATGAGTTTTTAGTTCACTTTGGTGAATTTGACTGAAGAAATAGAGAGCAGTTAAAACTTAAACTGATTAATGACACACACACACACACATTATGAAACAGAAATACCTTAAAAAACATAAGGGTTTGTCCTTCTCTGTACACTCAGCGCCTCTTTCCATTATAGAGTGTCATATAAGTTTGTTAATTACTTTTTCTTACAAAATAAGCTATTTGAAGTACTTTCATGTATATGCTCTTCTGTTCTGATTCAATGGATTGAAGAAGTAAAGAAACTTGGGTATTCTGTTTAACAAGGGCCACGTCTAAGCACTTACAACTTTTTCTATCAAATTGGTCATTCTTTGTTGGGGTTGCTAAGGATTTTTACCACATCAAATTTTGAGTCCAACAAATAAAAATCATCCATTATAATTGAGATTATCTTGTTCATGATCTCTAAGCCGAAACAACAAAAAGAAGTGGGAGTGACTTTAGGATTTTTTTTTAAGCTATTGTATTTTTAGAACTTTTTCCAAGTCTCTTTCAATCTATCTTTTTTTATCTGAGTCTAACTTGCATTTTAACGTTTTAGAAAAGATTATCAATACTTCAAAGGGTAACATTACAATGTAAAATATTTATTTTAATAAAGATATAAGACTTAATTAAATCTTTTTAGTATATTGAGTACTCAAAATTTGTATACTTTTCACTTGGATCTTTATTGTTTTAATTTTGTTAATTGGATTATATGTGATTGTTATGTTACGACATCTTATTTATTTGTCTCGATGTGTTAAGAAATAACACATGAAAATAAGTAAGATTATCAATACTAAAAAGTGTAACGATATCTTACCATCTAAAATATTTACTCTAATGAATATGAAGATTTTTAATTAAGTATTTTTAATTGACTACCAATTAAATTTTATTGGTATATTGAGTAAAAAAAATTATATTTTTCAATTAAGTTCATACCATTTAATATTTTTTGTTAATTGGGTGACATGATTGTTATTAAATTATGTCATCTTAGTTTTTTTTTGTGTTAAAAAATGTGAGGTTTTGGTTAATATAAACATGATATTATGATTAATGTAAAATAACAAGTAACTTTCATTACTTTTAATATGCGTTAGATAACGAGGTNAACATCCTTCAACGGATGTCAACATCCTTCAACGGATGTCAACATCCTTCAACGGATGTCAACATCCTTCAACGGATGTCAACATCCTTCAACGGATGTCAACGTTGAAGATGTCACTTCCGCTTAAAGTTATGTTTTTTTTATTTTAGAGTTTGTTTTATTAGGGGACATCCGTTGAAGGATGTCACCTCCGTTGATGTATACTTTCTCATGCTGGTTGATTCTCTGGACGCTCCTCAATGTTCCTCCACACCACGATGGCGACTCTCCTTCACACCATGGCGGGAATGGAAGTTTTCAAACCAAAAAAAACTGGGAAGAAAAAGGAATGAAAGTGCGGGAGGTGGAGAGGTGGAGAGGTGAAACGAAAATGGGAAAAGGGAAAGAGAGTTCCGTGGGTGGGTGCTGGGAAAGTAAAATTAGGATTTCAAATTATTTAAAATAGGATAAAAATAAAAATCTTTTTAACTTAAAGATATAATTGTATTTAAAATAATGTGAGGAGGTAGAAAAAGTATAGGGTGATGGTGAAGGGAGCAACACCCTTAATTACAAACTAAAATAAAGACCACCCCGTCAAGTTTGACTCGTTTCATATTGGGCTGCGTAGTAAGACACGTGTCAGTAGGCTGTAAGAGAAATATGAACACGCATTTTTTGAAAACTTCAACGTCGAAGTTCCTTATATGTTACGTTGTTATTCTCTTAAAGACTTTCTATCAGAGAATTCCTTTCACATGCAAAACCCTAAAATATCATTTCCTTACTATTTGAATACCCACCATTTAGATTCCACTCTTTCAAGTTCCCATCTAAGACTCAAAAACTTTAATGTTAATTAAATCGATTATCAAGTCAATATAAGAAATTTTGTTTTGATAAATTGTGGGATATTGTAGTCCTCAATAAATATACGAAATTAAAGATAAAGAAGGTGATAATGAAATTCGATTCTTTGAAAATTTAATATGAAACTTGTTTGAATAATGGAAGGCTAACTTTTATCTCTATAGAAAGCAACAAGTTTATAAATGTTAGTTAGACAAATGTATGGAGAAAGATCCATATTTTAATTATAAAAATATTAAAGAGAAATTATTATTTGATGATTAAGAAGAGTCGCATTTTTTAAATAAAGAGATACGTATTTTAAGAACTTAATTTTAAATATAAGAATATAAATTAATAAATAATCTGATACGGATGACACAATTATATACAGTGAAAATAACGAATTTATTTCTGATTAAATTATGCATAATATTACAATCGAGAAGAATAAATTTTTAGGAAAAATACTGTAAAAAATTATCTACTTTAAATATTTGAAGGCCTTATACATATAATTCATATAAAAACTGATATTGTTGTGTCAACAGTTCATTCTTGGAACAAAAGAAATCTGGAGCCTCCGAAAAATAATTGAACCCTTAACCAGAGAGATTTTTTAAAACTCGTTTATTTTCAAGTCAGCGTTACATTTTATTAAATCATATTGCATAAAATATTTATTTGCTTACTTAGACTAAGTCTTAGCCAATCAATTTACAAATTTTTAGATTTTATATTAATTATATTCTTGGTGTTAGTATATTAATTATAGCCAATCAATAAAATTAAACTTTTTAATTTAATCCATAATATTTTATCATCCAACAAATATAAGAATTCTTGTTAGTATATAACTTGTAAGTTCATTACTAAATTAATGATAAGTTAATTTATTAATCAATGTTGATGTCTAACAACATTCTTTAATGACCCAATAAAGTATATTTTACTTTAGAACTATTATAAAATTGATATAATATTTTTTTTTCAATTTTAAAGTTTTATGTTAACTTATGATATCGGTCTCAAATTTCAATAAGTTAAAACATAAGAAACTCCTTTCTTGATTAGTCATTAACTCTGTAACATTCCAAAAATATAGAAGTTATCACATGTTTAATAAAATAAAACTGTTAATCAAGACAGAAAGTAAAAGTTTTCTTTATAGTTATACAAAACATAACTACAAATTTAACTTTATACAAGCCAACTAAAACAAAACTATAAAAATATAGTTAATCTATAGAAAACTAGGCATCAGTCGTCCCTTCGTCCTACTCTATGGTTACTTCATCACCCTCTGCTCACATCTATCGAATGATCATAGCCCACAGGAACATACAAAAAATGTAGAAAATAAAAGGTAAGCTAGCTACAAAAACAATTCATATTACACTTAGAACATGGCATACACAAATCATATATAACATAAATCAAATCAAACATCTTAACATGCAAGGACCTAGACTGGATTATCTGGATTTAGTATGAATGTTGAACTATGGCGGATTGTGCACTTGTGGTGGTCTCTACTGTTTTGTAAAGTCATTATCAATGGGTTTTACCCCACCATACTTGCAAGGTTAGTTTGTATCGCGTCTTAGGCTATATTGAGCTACCTGTATTCATACCAATAAAACTTTGATACAACACTTAAGAATCCTCCTTAGGACTCTTATACATTTCATTTCATTCAATCATAAGTTATAAACATTTCTACAAATCATACAATAAACCAGTATATCTTTTAAAACCATACACATATGTAAAAAGATTCAAAAACACTTAAGAACACAGACCCAATGGCCCAACTAGAGCCAAAACAATGACCTTCCCAAGCTAAACGAGCTGGCTCACCAAACCTCTAGAACTCACTTCCAAAAAAACCCAAATGCTGCCTAGCTAGTCAATTTTGCTTACCCAATGAGAGCCAAAACAACAAGCTTCCCAAGTTGAGCGAGCTAGCTCGGTCAACCTCTGCAGCTCACCTCCAAAACTCCCTTACACTCGCCCAGCTAGCCAATTCTTCTCCCCCAACGGACTACATAATTCTACAGCATTAAAACTGCAAAATTAGCACTTCTAGACCACTCATTACCTCTTTTAACCAGTTTTACCAATTTCTAACACTCATAGATTGGATTATAAACTATTTTAGACTTAAGCAAAGTCTATAAATTATCTTAAACTAATAATCAACTGTTTAAAATAAGACATCAACTCAAAAACCTCCAAATCCTTAACTCAAAGACAAAATTTCATTCTACCTATTCTAGCTCATTTTTAAGTAATGTAAGAACTCTTGTCAGAGCGGTGTAACAGAATGGTTAACGTGAAAAACAAACCAAAAGGGAGGAGGGGGGTGAATTGGTTTCTAATCGCAAATCGTGTCTTAAAATATTTAACTTTTTAATTTAAATTCCTTAACGATAAATTTGGTTCTTTGTTTGATGTCGTCCAAATCGTTAACGATAGATGAACAGTGTGCCATGAGTCAGTTCGTGGTTTTGTTTTATTTTTTTTATTAATTTTTTTAGATTGTTTTAATTTAAAAAATGTATCCACACATCAAGTCAATATTATGTCATGTGGCAATGTTAGTGTCATGTGTCAAGTTAGTGTTAGTGTCACATGTGAAGTCAGTATCAATGTCATGTGTTAATGTTAGTGCAATGTGTTTGTGTCTTATATTCAACTTAGTCTCAATTTTCGTTTATTTTGTTCACTTTAGTTCCAATTTTGTTAGGTTTTTTCAATTCAGTCTCAATTTTATATCTCTCTAAATTGAGATTAGATTTCACTTTTATTATAATTCACATTTTTAATAAATATTTTTTTCATTAGTTTTAAACCAACTTTAACTATATTACTGGAGTATAATTATTAGGTTTATGTTTGATTTCTTTTACATACAAAAATAGGGTTATAGTTGATATACAAATAGTGACGAATTCTTCTTCTAATTTAAAAAAGAAATCCATTCTAACTTTAAAAATTAATTT